AATAAATGAGAATGGTGAAGACCTCCTCACCGTATGTGTGGAAAATAATATTTTTGTGGCGAACACTTTCTTTCGCCATAAGAGGATTCACATGTATACATGGGAAAGAGGGGGTGATAGAAGCATGATAGATTTCATAAATGTGGATGAAAGAATGAGGAGCGCAGTGGTAGATACAAGGGTTTACCGGGGGTCCAACGTAGGGACGGATCATTACTTGGTCTTATGCCGAATTAATGGTCTATTCAGGCGTTGGCGGCATCGGAATCTGTGTCTACCACTGCGTTACAGCGTATAAGAATAGAGGTTACAAGATGAAGGTGTGAAAGAGAAGTATAAATGCAGACTGAATTATGTATGAATGATTAAGACTTGAAGAATGTATGGAATAATATTAAGAAAGTTTTGGTGGATGCAGCCACCGAAGCATGTGGTGTAAGTAAGAGAACGAATGAAAGGAAAAGTAGTACGTTGTGGTGGGATGATGAGGTACGGATGGAAGTTGAAGCAAAGAGAGCATGGTTAGATTTACTAGCAACCAAAGCTGGTAATTCTGGCGGTATGAATGATGAGATTGAGAGAAAAAAGGCAGACTTTAGACGTATAAATAAGAGAGTAAAAGAAGTTGTTGAAAGGAAAAAGCAAGAAAGGATAGATAAGAATGATAGAAGGATATCTGATAACTTCCAGGCAAATATTAAAATGTCCTGGAAGCTCGTAAGAACTGCCAGGGGAAATTCAAAACAGCCTAGAATGAATGCTATACGAGACGAGAATGGCTGCATGCTGAATGATGAAGTTTCGAATTTAAAGAGATGTAAGGAATACTTTGAAAGCGTGTTTAAGAGTGAAGAGTAAGTGGAATAGAAATTCCGGAAGAAGTGGAGAGAGGTAGGGAGATAAATGTAGATGAAATAATGAAAGCAATGAAAAGCATGAAAGCAGGTAAGGCAGCCGAATATGATAGAATATCACTCGAAATGCTAAGGGCTGGAGAGAGTGTGGTTGCAGGCCTGCTCTTCACCTTGTTTATGTTGGGAACTGAAGCGGGTACCGGAAGACTGGTGCAAAGCCGTTATAGTCCCAATATATAAGGGAAAGGGCTCGCAGCAGGACTGTAAAAACTACCGTGGTATCAGCTTGCTTAGGATTGTGGGTAAACTGTATGCTAAGGTGTTATTTGAAAGAGTTATGGAAGAAACTGATGAAAAAATTTGGGATGTGCAAACTGGACTTAGAAAGGGGATGGGGTGTACGGATCAAGTCTTTTCCATGCGCATGATTGCGGAGAAGTTATTTAGAAGAAGCACAAAAAACTTTCTGGTTTTGGCCAAAAACCAGAAAGTTTTTTGTGCCTTCATGGACTTGGAAAAGGCTTATGACAGAGTGGACAGGAATGTGTTATGGCAAACACTGAACTGATTTGGGTTGAGCGCTAGCTTGATACAGGCATTAAGGTCTCTTTATAGGGACTCTAGTGCTTGTGTCAAGAGCAACGGGGTCTACTCGGACTGGTTTGGCATTCATAAAGGTGTCAGACAGGGATGTGTGGTTTCCCCGTGGCTGTTTAACCTATTTATGGACAGTTGTTTGCAAACTTTGAAAGTTGAAGAATGTGGTTTGAGAATGGGTGAATTGACCGTCAAATGCCTTTTGTACGCCGATGATCAAATCATATTTCCATCGTCGGCGGCCGAGTTGCAAATGATGGTTACTTTAATGAACTGGTCATTGAAAGAAAAAGGTATGAAAGTGAACGCAAGAAAGACGAAAGTGATGGTTTTTGAAAGAGAAGAAAGTAAAACGTTATGTGAAATAAGAATAGAAGGGGAGTTGATTGAGCAAGTGGATAAGTTTGTATATTTGGGATGTTTATTTAGCAGGGATGGTAGATATGATAAGGATATAGAACGACGAGTGAACGCAGGAAATAGAGTGAATGGGGCTCTACACGCTATTATGAGGAGTCAGAATGTGTCAAATATGGCACGTATGGCAATTCATAATGCTGTGTTAGTCCCTACTTTAATGTATGGCAGTGAAAGTTGGGTCTGGCAGAAGAAGCATGAGGGTAGAATTAATGCTGTAGAAATGCGGTTCTCAAGGAGTATGCTAGGGCTGAATCTGAATGACAGGGTGAGAAATAGTGTGATAAGAGAAAAGTGTGGTGTGCAAGATGACGTTGTGACAAGGATTAAGATAAGAATGCTTCGGTGGTTTGGTTATGTAGAAAGAATGAACGAGGAAAGAGTGACAAAGCAAATTTATGTTGCAGAAGTGAACGGCGGGGGTCGGGAAGGGACGCCCTAGACGAAGGTTTATCGACCAAATCGGCGATACATTAAAAATGGGCCAGATTAGGAGTACCCTTAACCGACGAGCGTGTATGCGTAGATATATGGATGTAAAGTAGGCGAGAGAGGTGTGTCAGGATCGCGCCAAATGGAAGTCCGTAGTCTCTGCCTACCCCTCTGAGTGACAGGCGTGAGTGTTTGTGTGGTTATTCATGGTTATATCACAGAAAAAAAACTGACGAAAAGTTAATATTTGTAGTCACAGAAATTGAAAGATCATCACAGGATGTTAGTTATTGATGTTTATTTTTGAATTCTTATAATTTGAGAAGTACATGACCAAGATATTTTATAAATTAAATCTGCGGCATTAATTTTTTTTGTCATATTCCGCATTCATTCTTTCTACGTTTCCAAACTACAGCAGCATTTCTTTCTTCCTCCTTCTTCATCTCACATCACAACATCTTGCAAACTACAGTTTCTTCTAACACACAACTTTCACTCTATCATTCAGAATTACCCCTTAAAAAATTCTTAATGTTCACATTTCTACGGCATTCATTTTACTCTCATACTTCTTCTGCCACAACCGACTTTCCCTACTATATAATAAGGTAAGGACTAACACAGAATTGTGAATGGCCATACGTGCCTTTATTGACACATTTTGATTTTTATCATCACTGCCAAACACGCATCCTAAATACACAAAGTCATCCTTGCTTGACCTACTCTCTTTCTATTCTTATTTCACATATCATTTTACTTTCTTCCTTTTCTAAAACAATCAGTTTTGTCTTACCTGCGCTTTCATTCATTCCCCTATCTTCAACGTATTATTAACGTAAGCATTATGTGCAACTCGCTCGCAGATATAGTAAATATTACTTGATTGTCGGCGTACGATATACATTTCACGGCTAAATCAACCATTCTCAACCCACATTCGTCCACAATCTTCCACGATCAAAGTTTTTAAACTTTCCATTCCAGATTATACATATTTGTATGCATGATTACATGACTTGTATATTTGCATTAGAAAAAAAAAAATTTAAATGCGCAATATATTGACAAAATAAAATTTGTAATAATATCTTACATTTAACTTATACATTTAATCGCAAGACCCATGGGGTATCATAGGTGTAATGACACCTCATGGGTCTTGCGACCGCTTTATTTATTATCTTTCTGCGAATACTGCCACAAACACGATCCTGTGTCATCTGTATCCACCAAAATTCTGCACGTCCCTTTTGGTCATCACTTTAACTAGTAAGCGGGGGCCCTACGCAGCGCTTATCATTCAAGAAATCTTTGTATCTGATCGTTATTATTTTCTTAGTATACATCTTAGAGTACAAATAAGCAAGCTACTTATGTATAATCCAAAGTATACATGTATATGGTCCAGTGCTACTTCCTATCCCACTAACACGTTGGGCTATGTCAGCAGACACCGTAATTTTACTACACATATCTCTGATATAGATTTCATCACTTGGAGTAACGTCGAGCATAGCCATCTCCATAGCTCGCCGAATGACTTTAAACTTCCTTATACGACCAGCAGTGTGACACCATGTTACAGCTTCGTAAGCTTTCACTGGCAGCACGATGATCAGATCAATGGAAATCTTAATACAGTATTGTTGATATTATGGTATAGTATTATCGGTGTTATTGCTTTGCTTGGCTTATTAAATAAGAATGGCCCCTAGAATGAAAGTAATAATAACGATTTAAAATATAAACAGAATAATTGTCATCGAATCTGGTTAGAATTTAGAGCCTAGAAATTCTGCTGAAGTTATCGTTATGAAATTATTAAATATAAAAAAAAATATTTTAATACAATTGCAGATGATGTGTATTTAAAAGCTTTGTCAATTTGTAATCTAAAACAATTTCCAAGTACTGAATACTAAACTAAAATCTACAATAAAAATAATAGAATTAGTGAGTTTGGCGTGCATGACTGTAGTAAATACACAGCAGTGACATAGAAGTTGCAAGTGTTTTATATAACGGTTGAAAAGCATCCACACAACAGCCATAATAAGTAACAGAATATGTTTATATAAAGTTATTTTAATTGTATACCACTTTAAAAAATAAACCAATAAAAAAATAATTATTGAAAGTAATGTAGTATTGTTTTGAATTATTACTCCATCCATCAAATGATTTATTAATTTTTTCTATAATAAACTCGAAAATTAATAGACTAGTTGCCCAACCCCGTTGCATTGTCTTTACCATGATATCGGGTATTTAGTATTCATTAGATATTACTTATTAAATTTGTAAATTTATTGAAACATAAATAACACACACTGGGTGTCAAAATAAAAGTATAAATGATGGTAGATTTCAAAAAAGACTGAAGGAGAATTTTTTTGTGTTTGTAATCTTTTACCATGCTCTCGGATAGTTAGGGGAGTGGAGGTTACACCCAAGGGAATAAAGGGACAACCTTTACAAAACATATATATTAAAAATATATATTGAAAATTTCATATGTAACAATATTATAATTTTAATTAAAATAAATACATCGCATTATTATGTGTCATAAGTTAAATTACGTGTGTTAGTGCAAGACAAGTTTCACTCAAATATTTATAATTCGTATGAAATTTTTTCTTTAAGAATAAGATACAATATCGAAATTATTACAAATGTACATATCACAATTACCTCTTGAGTTCTTCCTTTAGGAAGGGGGGTAGGCCGAGCTACCGCGACGGTTAATCTACCGCCGTGGAAATCTTGATTCTGCCTATTGCTAACAGGGGGCGGTAGTTTCGACGCGTTGCCATTGCATGGTGGATTTATTACAGGCCTCCTCTGATTCGTCGACATTGTCAATTTTAATTTGGCCTTATCTTTACCCTCTGTGAAGCGTATGGTGCTTGTATGGAAGTCTGTCGTATTCGCGTCGTTTTTCGTGATGTTAGTTACAAAGTGCGCCGTGGAGGGGGCCGGTGTCGACCGTGGCGGTGGCATTGGCGCGTCGGACAGATCGACAAGTTTCCTTGTCGATATGATAGGGTAACGGAGGGGGAGTTGGGGGCGTTCCGGTAACCGGGGTGGGAGGCATGGTGACAGTGTTTTCTGCAAAATAAAATTAAATAATGTGCCACGGTGCTCCTAAGAGCAAACATGCTTACGACTCATTCGCATGTATGAACTAGGTACATATAATACGTGGTGTTGAAGCACCTTACACGAAGCATTTACAAAACGTCCAATAAGAGTGGCGTATAATGGAATACCCTTTCGAAATTGATATTAATAATATTGCTTTAAACTTTATTTATTTAAAAAAATACTGGTGTGTCCAGGATTAACACAATTTAACAATTTAAAATATGCAAATTCGAAAAAATACAATTTCAAAAAGGCATTCCAGGGCGTGCTATATGATAAAGTTTCCATTAGTTTGCGCACATTTCTTTCCCTTGCTACCTTAATTGTTCATAAAATTCTATAAAAAAAGATAATAAAGCAAACATCGTTATAGATTTTCGTAAATCTATATTCACCTCTACAGAAAGTGCCCAAACTTTGGTGTGCGACACAAAGAAGCAAGACAACGTACAACTTGCAACTAACGAAATTACGAATTGAAATGAATAACAAAATATTGTTAATAAGGTCGTTTATAACTTACTGCTTTATCGGGAAGACTTATATCTGAGTTGTGCGTGCTATTAGGGTAACTATCGCGGCGTTGGGAGTTATTTGAGAAAAGGAACTCCATTTCTGTTAGGAGATCTAGAGGGAGAGCTGGAGGAGGTTCCCTTGGAGGTGCATCGTGGGCAGGCGACGAGTCAGAGGAATCTGAGGAGACAGGGGTCGCTGACCCACATGAGAACCTATCAACAAATTAACAATAACAAATTAACAATTAACAATAACAAACTATCAAGTTTCACCTGGATATACGTTAAACGACTGTCATGTCGATCAGTAAAAAAAAAGATAAATATTATTCTCTTAAAAGATCAAATATAAAAAATATCCTCATTTATTTTAACATCTTTTAAGTATTTGACCAAAGGGCGATAGCAACTTACTATTAAAGAATTTGTTTCGTATTTTACAGTACTTTTACCTTTTTTCATGAGACAATCGCTACGATCATCATCATCATCATTACAGCTCTTCACAAGTCCACTGCTAAACATAGGCCTCCCCCAAGGAATGCCACAAAGCACGGTCCCGAGCCACCTGCATCCATCGACTTCCTGTGTGTCTTACCAGGTCGTCACTCCATCTAGCGGAGGGACGCCCTAACACTTCGCCTGCCGGTACGAGGCTGCCACTCGAGAACCTTTCTTCTCCGTCGGTTGTCGGTTCTTTGAGCTATATTGCCGGCCTATTGCCACTTCAGCACACTGTTTGGGCTATGTCGGTTACTCTGGTTCTACTGCGGATATCCTCGTTTTTAAGTCTGTCACGCAGAGAAACGACGAGCATAGCCCTCTCCATAGCTCGCTGAGTGACTTTGAGCTTCCTCATACGGCCAGCAGTGAAGGACCACGTCCCAGGTCCGTAGGTCATGACAACACGCACTGGTTGAACAATCTAGTTTTGAGCTATGTCAAACGAGAAGATGTGTCGCAATCTCACGAACGCTGCCCAACCGAGTTGAATCCGTCGATTGATCTCTCGGTCGAAGTTGAACTTACCTAGTCGGACTATTTGTCCCAGGTAAACATATTCGACAATAACTTCGAGCTTAGTGCTCCCAACAACTACCGGCATTGGTGTGACATGGACGTTAAACATGAAATTTGTTTTATCCATGTTCATCTTTAGACCTATCCGTTGGGAGACACTATTGAGGTCATTGAGCAGATTCTGCCATAAGGACTATATCGTCGGCAAATCGAAGGTGAGTGATGTACTCGCCATTGATGTTGATGCCGTATCCTTTCCAGTCCAGAAGCTTGAAAACGTCTTCCAATGCAGCGGTGAAGAGTTTCGGGGATATGACGTCACCCTGTCTTACACCTCTCTGCAATTGGATAGGTTACGTACTCTGGTTCTGTACTCGGATAGCCATCGTAGCCCTACTGTACAAGCACTTCAACACTTCGATATACCGACAGTCAACTTGGCACCGCTGAAGGGACTGCAGCAACGCCCAAATTTCTACGGAATCAAAGGCTTTCTCATAGTCTACATACGCCAGACATAGTGGCAAATTGTACTCTTCTGCCTTCTGTACAATTTGCCGAAGGGTATGTATGTGGTCTATGGTGCTTAAGCCTTTTCGGAAACCGGCTTGTTCGGGAGGCTGGAAGTCGTCAAGTCTGCGCGCGGGACGATTCGTAATGACTCTTGAAAACAGCACGTAGACGCGGCTCAGAAGGGAAATCGGTCTGTAGTTCTTCAAGAGAGCGTTATCGCCTTTCTTGAAGAACAAGACCACCGTACTTCTGCTCCACTCCTACGGAGTAGTACCTTCGTGAAAGATGGAATTAAAGAGCTTCTGAAGGACATTAAGTAACGGTGTTCCACCCGCTTTCAGAAGCTCCGCTGTAATTCCATCCTCGCCCGGAGACTTGCCGTTTTTAAGGTGCTGGAGAGCCATTCTAATCTCGCTCAGACTGATGTCCGGGATATCATAAGAATAGTGTCAGATAAGACTTGCTCTTGGATCGTTACTCACAATTACGTGTGGCTCCAACGATGACGTGTACAGCTGCCCATAGAATCTCTAAATCTCAGGTTTCTCGGAAACGATATTGCCACATTCGGTCTTCAGCTTCGACAGTTAGCACTTTCTGGGAGACAGATCTCTGGCAAAGACTTTTGAGCCCTGGTTCCGCTCGATCGGTTCTTCAATATGAGTAGTATTAAAGTTGCGCAAGTCCCGCCGCATGCATTTGGAGATCTGTCTGTTCAGTTGCCTGTATGCTATCAAATCTACTGAAGACTGCAGCTTCATTTCCCGTCTAACAGCCATTAGATTAAGAGTGTGATCGGGGAGTTGTTCTTCTGCCGCGGGTCTTGCAAAACTTAGCTCCGACCGCATGGACAGTTTGCACGAGCTTGTCATTTATATCGTCCACTGCATTGCAATCTTTTAGGTACTGAAAACGATTTTGTAGCTCAAGCTGAAAAATTTCGGGACTTTGGTAATCCAATAATCCTCCGTCCCCCTCGTGCTCCAATGAGCACGAGGGGGACGGAGCGTTAACTTCATTAGACGTGACCTCTCCAACTTAACGTTTAGGTTCAGTGTGCCTCTCACCATTCGGTGATCGCTACCAGTTTTCACCCTCGCGATCACTGAGACATCACTGAACATTTATCATCTGGGTGTCATAATGAAGTCAATCTTATTTTTGTCGAACCGTCGGGGCCCGACGAGGTCCACTTCCTGTGAGGCCACTTCTGGAAGAAAGAGTTCATCATAAAGAGTCTCTCTTCCTCCATGAATTCTCCCAGCTGTTGGCCTGTTGGGTTCCGTTGCCCTATTCCGGATTTCCCCACTTTCAGCTCACCGTTCTCTCTTGCGCCTAGTTTTATGTTGAATTCATTAACAACGTATAAGTGGGTTTTGTAGGATTGCATGGCTCTAGAGATATCCTCATACATTACCTCCACCTCCTCATCGGGATGTGCCGAGGTTGGTGCGTAAATCTGTATGACCTTCAGCGAATACCGTTTGGTGGTTCTGAGTATAAAGTAAGCAACCCTAATCAACACACTCCCAATCTTTACAACGTTGTTAATGAGAGACTTGTGGACGATAAAACCGACACCTCCTTGAGACAGATGGTCGCCCTCCCAGTGATTGAACAAGTTGCCGGATTCGAGGATAACTGTGTCCTCCCCATCTCTTCGGACTTCGGATAATCCTATAATATTCCAGCGCAACTTGTCTATCTCTTCCTCCAGCTCCAGGATCTTCTCGTCAGTCCTCAGGGTACGTGTGTTATAAGTTGCTGCTACAATAAGGGTAGATTATGTTCAATAAATTATGGTACGTATTTTTTAATAGAAGAGGTGTGGACAAATTAGCCACAGTCCACCTGATGGTAAGTGGATGCTATGGCCCAAAGACTTTTTCGTCTATCATTTATTAAAAATCAAAACGCAGATACGTTGTCACCCCCTGATGGAATGCCTCGTTTCCAGTAAAAAGGTCTCCAGTTCTCTACATTCACATTACGAAACACAGCAGCATTGAGCTGCCATTTCACGCTGGTATTCTGTGAGAACATGGTACTTCACTGGTCGATCCGATACATTCGTGCTACAGCCAGCCATATTGTAGCTGCAGCAATATTTCTAAAATTTATAATATATAGATCTAAAACTTGAAATTAGTAACTAAATGATATCGTATACTGGCAGTGTAAGAGAATCCAATGAATATCAATAGCGTGATCATTTCGCCCTAGGGGAGTTGTAAGAAGTAAGGTAAAGTAAAGTAAGCAAAAGGCCAGAAAGGCCTCGTGACCTCCGTTAGATGGATTTATAATATCTTGTATGTGACAGATGCAAACACTCAGACCGGTAATGGGGAGCAGCTTCAGAAGAACAAGATATCTGGTACTCTGGTATAGCAATTCCAATCTGCCTGCCTGGCGATTCTGGCAAATACTGCCTGCAGTGGGACCAGCTCTTATCTTCGATTCCATATCGGTAATATAACACAGATATTAAAAATATTGTGAGGAGCATTACCCGTGGGGGGAATATGGATTCCGTGCTTACCAATATTCTGCACAGTTTAGTGAGTCCAGGGCCAAATTTCCTAGTAATGACTGATATATTCTTGGAAAAGTTTTTAAGGACCTTGGAAAGACCATCAGCTGGCAATTTTGTGTTAGTGTTATCATAATAATAATCATCATTATCATCACAACCAATCATAAGTCCACTGGTGATGTTGACCTCCAGAATATTAACATGTTGACCTTTTTTCTTTTTAAAGTTGTAGTTATATTTAAACTGCTTTAAAGATGAAACGCGTATGAAGGTTATATTTCAATTATTTTAGTTTGTAATAACGCAAATGCAATATGTTAGTAAAAAAAAATGTAAAGTTTTATAGTAGAAGGCATTGAAATGAAGTGACAAACAAAGTTACACTAGGTGGACACCTGGTAAGTGGCTACTGCAGATAAAGGACTCCTAGAGCCAGCTTCCAACGAAGGGTACAGATTTGTAGTCACCTCTGAGGACTAAGATGGAACGCCTCACGGTCCTAAATTATACTGGCTCTCTTTACCATTCAAACCGGAATACAGCAGCGCAGGCTATTTAGCGGTAGGAATAGGTAAATTTAACTACCCAGAAGTACCACTAGGCAGGAACGGAATACTATCACCTTTTGTCTCATTTCGCTTCAAAAATCAGTAGTAGTAAGATCGTAGGTTATACAAACAAAATTTTACCAGAAAATAATTATGAAAGCTAGTAAAAAATGCGTACCTGCTATCGTCTGTCGTGTTTATAGAAGACGGCCTTGAGCCGGTCTTCGGCATTTTGTTCTTTAATCCTCTAACAGCCGATTTCATATTTTTACCTCCTTGTCGGACCTTAAGGTAAAGAAATAAACAATCCATGTATAATAATTTTAAATAAAATTAACAAAAACTATGTGGATAGTAAATAGCTCGTGCATAACTGCCATCATAGATCTTCGTAATACGTTTTAAATACTTTTATGTCATATAGGATATAACAGGCAATAATAGAGTATACTCGTAATATGTAAAATTCGGTAATATCTTAGCTATTTTATATTCAGTTTTCTGGTGGAAGTATACTGTATACTGTGTCTAGGAAATTGACAAACTACATATACGATTACAACCAACAATAACAATCTACTCTTTTTTAATAGACGCTTTTTAAAATATATTTTACAATTTAATAGATGATTAGATAGTAAAATATATTACGGCATCTTACTCTATGGGGTTTTTATTAAGAATGGTGAACGCCTTAATAGAAGATAACGGACATAAAAGAAGACCGATGTTTATGCAAAATTAAACACCTTTTCTTGTGAGCACCATTTCATCGGATTCGATGCTGTGGTCATAGCTTATGGGATGAACCTCACTCGCAGCACAGAGTTTAAATAAAAATAATCTTAATATAATTATACCCCATTTGATTATAAACAATATACTGAAATATCAGACCCAAAATATGTTAAAAAATTGTTTACATTAGAATTTATTTATTGGTGCATCAAAACAAAGGAACCTTGTGAATTTAAAAAGCACAATATGTAGAAACAATAAAACAACAATAATATAAATAACGTAAAAAGGGATAAGCCATTATAAAGAAGCTACAAAAGCACAGCAAATTCCATCAAATTTTTGTCAACAATTATTTATATTAAACAAATTAATATTAAACAGCGGTAAACCGTAGATTTCCAAATAAGTTGAGTTAAAAAGTGAAAGAAGGAATTATAATATTTAAAACTTTTTTTATATAATACCAAGTCACAGTATGCATGCAATAAATACACTCTTTTAAGCGAGAAAAAGAAGAAACCCGGTGCAGACTTTAATAAAGAATAATTTTGATATACACTATAATGATATTCACTACTTTGTGGAACAGGTATACTTTTTGCTTACTTAAACTGATGTGGGCTATTCCTAATAATTTATAATAAAAATTCTATAATAGACCTATAAATTCATAGACCTTCACCCCTTCTGTTTTACTAACCGGATGAACAGTTTTTCTTATCAAACAATATTATGTAAATAAATATATCGCGGATGGGTTATCTAATGAAATATTATGTTCATGTACCTCAATTAAAAGTTCCGTAAGTATTTTAAATTTCACTCACTTGCTTACCAAACAATACTCATCAAAAGTATTTCTTATAGACTAAGAATGACAAAGGAGCAAACAGTCCTGATGATGCTATGGCCTATAGACATCTATCATCGTTCTCTCTCCTAAGGACTAGGACGTGATGCCTCGATAACAGTAAAAAGGGTATCCAGTTATCTACACTCACCATACGAGCAGCATTAAACTGCTATTTTACTCTAGTATTCTGTGAGAGCAAGGTCCTCTGATTGAGCTGACCAAAGCCATAAAATAGCTAGAGCATGACTCTACAACGTAGAAAGTACAAAGACTAGGGAATTTTAATGATGAATGCTTGAAAAACTGTGTGTTAAACTTGGCTTTTAGTAAAAGGAAATCTTTAAATATTTATATGAGGTTCAGCTAAGCAACGAGTCACTTTTTGTAGGTAATTACTCTTCACAAATCGACTGCTGAACATAGGATTGCCCTAACTAATTACACAAAACACGGTCCGGAGCCACCTGCATCCATCATCTTCCTTCATGTCTTACCAGGTCGACACTCCATCTAGTAATTAGCTGCCACACACAACGCCTACCAGTACGAAGGTGCTACTCAAGAACATTTCCCCCATCGGCTGTCGGTTTTAGAACTTTAAAGCCCGTCCCATTTTTATTGCAGCTTACTGTGCCGTTAGTCCATGTTAATTATTTTGTTCTACTACTATCCTTATTACGAAGTCCCATGCCCAGTTCCAACTTTCCATGTTGGGACTTAAATGTCTTATGTTTATGTAGTACTTATAACAAAAAATAATGTACCAACTGTGTTATTTATGATATTATGATGAATATGATATTGTGTTTGGGACTGTGTAGGCATTCGGCTAGTCACCTACTTATAATTCACTTTACAAAATCCCGTCTAAATATTTTTTGGTCAAACGTGGTGTGAGTAGCTCTCTTCTCTTTGGACTCTAACTACCCCTTTGGAATTTACCAACGTGACGTTATCTATTCCGCCAAAAACAAACGTCTTCATAGTTCGCTGAGCGAGTCCACATACGTAAGACAAATTGGCAGATTGTACTCTTCGGTCGGTTATGTTTGTTATCTATGGTACTAATTTTTTTTTCGGAAACCGGCTTATTCTGGAGGTTGGAAACCGTCAAGTCTGTGTGCGAGTCAATTCGTTATGACTGTTCAAAACAGCGTTTAGGCTATAAAGGGAAATAGATCTTAGGTCTATTTCCCTTTTAAGCCTCAACAGTGTTGACGTTGTTTTTGAAGAACTAGAGACCACCGCATTTGTACTCCAGGTCTCCGAAGCAGCGCCACCATGGCGGGCGGAACACAGATTTCTATGAGATTCTAGATGTGTTCCAGTAGCGAAGATGAGGCGTTAAATCATAACATAAAATTGCACTTTCAATTTTATTTGTACCGGCGAGGATCGAAATCGGGTTGCTTGAATATCGAGAAATTTACGGCGAATACTTATCCCCTAGGCTACCGCGGCTCTATCTAAAATCTATTACTAATCTTAATTATTTTATTTAACTTCCTTAACACTGATATATTTATAAGGACGTTGAAATATAATAGTGACACACATTTCTAGCTTTCTATACATCTATTACTACCACCTCTACCCTAAGTATGAATAAGTAGGTAACTATAACCAATATATTTAATTGTAAATGTGCAATCTTTTTTACAATATAGATCAGAAGATTGTCTACATATTCAACAACATACTTATTTTAGCCCTCATCGAATATAAAGGAACATTTTAATAGTACAAAGTATGTTCCAATAAGTGGTGAATAAACATGTCCATTTAACGTTCAAAATTAATCGAACAGAGTTCGTGGGACTCACCGTTTTAACAGCCGATTGTACTGCTGGGTTTGCCTGTAAATATTGACAATTTAAAGCAAAAAGAACACCCATGTACTTACAGCATGCATGCATCGAGTAACATTGTGTTAGCTTATTTTTTATTTTATATAATAATTATAATTAAGCTTTGTGAGTTAACATTTTATTAGTATCAATAATATTTTATAGTTATAAGCACATTTGCATAAAGCCTTTATATTAAACAAGATATGCATTAAAACTTTAAGCCAACGAAGTTATTAGCATTGGTTGCCGCATTTACGCAGGTTCGTAATTACTTTTGAAAATATGTTATGTTAATATAAAATATGTTATAAACACTACAAGTAACTAAAAATATTTATTATTTTTATTCAATTATTGGCAAAATTTATCGATTATTATCATAGAAAGCGTTGAGGGCGATGAAGATGTCAGTCGTAAGAAACTGAGAGTATTTTTGTTTTATTCATTCAAGATTTAAAAATATATTATTATCCTCGTAAATACCCACAAAGCTTTACCTAACCTTAAATGAGACATTAATATTTTTTTATAAATCGTAAATGTCTGGCCGTTATCAATCATTTAGATTTTAGACAATATTTATTATAAATTATGTAAATAAGACAAGTGTACAAGCAAGTATATTATAACAATTGGTATTTTTATTTCAGAACTTAATATTCAATTACCGCCTTGCCTATAAGGTTTTAGCAATAACTTTCAATGTGCCCTTTTGAACTTTCAGACATGGGTATTCCCATGGGCTAAGCAGTTACGATGACATTAACAAAATATATATTAAATACATTTGTAACTTCATTTATAAGTTACGAGTATACAAAACTATTGAATAAAAAATAGAATTATATGGAATTTTTTTACCAATACTACTGTGTATTTTTAATAAAATTAACCTTCTTTTGATATCAGATTGTAAGCATCAGAATATTTAAAAAAAATAACTAGGTAAAGTCAACTAACATTACAAGTACATTATTACAAAAAATATTTTACCAACCTAAATACAACAAAATGCGTATACGACAATCAAATATGGATCAGGATCGTGCCAAATGGAAGTCCGTAGTATCTGCCTACTCCTCTGGGAGACAGGTGTAAGTGTTTACGTATGTTTATGTATAATATTCGAAACTACAACTATCCTCCTTGTTACATTTAAGGAACTTTACTAGAGATAGATAATAAGAAACTAAAAGAACGGTATGTAAATGGCTAACCGTCACTTAAGATCTCCACGCATATTGCCAATGGATTTTAAAGAAATGGTCGGTATACCTCACAAATTACTTTATAAACCCAAAAACAATTATTCACGTGGACATGAGCCTCTCAAGTAGAAAGGAATTACATGGATAGGCCATCATACATATAGCTGTTGGCACAGTATTAGACATTCAGCATGTTTGACTTATTCTTACATTACATAGAAGGCCACGGTCTTCCTTCACATTGTTGCCATTTACAATACCCAGGGAATTGGGTGATGGTACCATTGCCTAACTCAGCAAAGAAACGTAAATAACTATACGAATACTATTCGAATCAATTAGAAATAACCATCTCGTTTACATGCCAGGCATAAAAGCTTAGACCGACGCGACGGCGGGCACAAGAGTAGTATAGTAGTATAGCATATAGATAGCAATGATGCGATACGTCTGATAGGTACTGCGATCGTCAATGTGCCCGATAAGCGTCAAAATTAAGGTTTAGTTGAGGGGGTTGGGGGAGGGGTCAGTTATGTGCCGATAATGATGATAATGTTAAAAAAGTTTGCGGCAGTTATCCCTATTCAAATGAACTCACTGTCACAATCTAATTACTACTAATAGACCAGTCATCGAAGGCATCTAGACAGAACAATCGTGAAGTGTGGTGCAGGGCGAGACGCGGGCTCCCGAGCGGCTGTTAGTCGCTCTCTAATCGCTCGGGAGCTGTCCGCTAGGGTTGTCCTGTCACGCAAATAAATGAAAATGGTTCACACTACATGTGCGGTAAAAAGAAACAAATTCAAATATTGTGACAACCCTAGCAATTTATTGTTTATGTCGGCTTTTCCGACAATATCAAACGTGATGACTGACTGTATGTTCTACTTAGGTCGTGTCACTGTTGTGTTACGGTTTGAAGGTTACTGGAAGCTAGTACAGTTAGTGTGATGCATTCTATTTTAGTACTCTGACATGACAAACACATTTTAACCAATCTTCTTTGTTTACAATTGATTGCAGATGACCATGGACTGCAGTAGTTACTTAACTTTTTTTTTTAAGTACAATACAAAAAATGGGTGACAAATGAGTACACAGTCCACTTGATGGTAAGTGGATGTTGTGACCCATAGACATCTAGATTTATCCTCAATTAAGAATCAAAATGCACTGCTCTAGGTCATCTGCTTGTATATCTTAGGTATGGCAAGTTTTTAGATACTGATTCTATCATATATAAAAGATATTCAGTGGGTAGTTCATGACGAGATGGATTGAAGGCAACAACTGGATGCCAGCCACAGACTATCATCAATGATAATGAGGAGTAATATCCAATCGATCCAATTATTAAAAACTATTTTTTATATGTTTGAACTTAAATTTGGATGAAAAACATGCTATGCCATTATGTTAGAAAATTTAACAATTGGTTGAGTTAATCACGGATTAAAAAACGGGCCCTTTATAGGGTCAAATTGGAGAAATAATCATAGACATTAGTTTAGAATGCGAAAAAAAACGCCATGCAACATGTCCAAAATAGGCAAAATAACTTTTGAGCTTAACAAAATTCTGAATGATATGATATAATATAGCTGCTCATTTTGCCCTCTTCTATGAAAATAAAAATTAGAAAATATAGCTCATACCTTATCTTTAACAGTCTTGAAAAAGGCACCTCCTTCCTTTTTTACAGTCTTCGCCCAGTCTCGATACTGCTGTTTTAACCTTTGCCCACTGCCTGTGTTCATTTTCTCAGCGTAATTATTGCATTCTACTTCAAACTCGTCGTTGAAACCCCGCCCAGAATTGAGTAAATCCAATCTCTCGTCAATGAACTGGTAAAGAAGTAGAAATACTATTTTCATAACTTTGATCACATAAACTTTAAATTCATGAATAATAAAATTACTTTTAAATATTAAAAAAGAGTAGTGCCTGGTTAGTATAATGAAAAAAGAATGTGTTTTGCTACGTTATTTTATTACATAATTTCATTAAGATTAATATAGCATCATCATTACAGCCCTCACAAGTCCCCTGCTAAACACACAGGCCTACCCCCTAATGAATACCACAAAAGATGGTACTGTGTCACCTGTATCCGTCAATAGGTGCTTGAGCTCGTACCGGTAGGCGAAGTGTAGGGCAGCCTCCCACTAGATGGAGTGATGACCTGGTAAGACATGCAGGATGTCGATGGATGCAGGAGACCACTATGTAAAACAACTTAAAAATATAAGTTTATTGAACAGTAATGTTCTGTTACTCGGGCCTAAAGTAAGGGCACAAAAAACTCTCTTTGCAAAATATGGATGAAGTTAGTTTTTGTTGTTGTTACCATGGGCTGTGAGCACAGACAGCAACAGTGTGCAAGTGATAGGTCAAAAGGGGTGTCATTCATAATCCCACCCTTTATGTGCGCAAGTAGTTTATAGTAAATTGTGTTTAAAATTATCAACAGAAATAATTTTTTGGAAGCAACATTGTTTCATTAGGCAACCGATCTGCGAAATATTTGTTACATATTATGATTGATAAAAATACTTTTCATCTAGTAATTGAATTGAATTTAATTGAATAAACCAGCTGTTTTCCGCAACTCCAAGTCTAAGCGCGTATTTTACGTGTGGGCAGGAATAATGTATTTATTTGAGACATGAAATTTCCCCGAAGAAGTTCAACAGTCCTTTGATATTGCAAGCAACTTCGGGGAGTGATCCCGGCGTGCCGAGATGTTTAGCGCTGTATGCAGCGACTTCCGGACATGTCAGCAACACGTGGGCCGCCGTTTCTTCCTCCCTCATACATGCCCTGCACTGGGGACTGTCCGTAACACCTATGGCAAATAAATCTTTGTTAAAGTTGCCGTGTCCTGTGATAGCACTTGTCACTATCCAGATCTGCAGCTTGTTCAGTCTCATTAGAACCTTGGTTAAACAACTGTTTCATCAACTATTTCAGGCAGGGCCTCCTCCCTAGCTTGTCTACAGTCTACTAGATTTTTCCAAAGTTGAGCATGTTGATTAGTGTAGTGTCTCGTACCAATGAACGAACATTACCAAAGGGGATTGGTATGAATGGTTCAGGCTCTATAGTGGCCATAGCCAATCCTCTTCTGGCCAGTTCGGCTGCTGCATCGTTGCCTCTAGATCCACTGTGTTCTTTTATCCATTGCTTATATCACATTGTTGTGTTTACATACCTCATTTAATCGTTGGTGGCATTCATATACTAGTCCTGAGCTCACCACATTGCAGCTTAGGGCGAGTAGTACCGCTCTACTGTCGGTCAGTACTCTGATGGAGAAGTCATTAACCTTTTTAGCATCTATTGCTATGGCCGCTTGAATGATACCAATACATTCTGCCTGAAAGACTGTTTGTAGGTACTCAGCAGTGTGCATATGTGGACATTTTAATTTGTTTTAGAACCATCGGTGAAGACTCTAAGCGCTTAATCCCTTTGGCTGGCTGGTTTCATTTAATTGTATTTTTTTTATAGAAGAGGGGGCAAACGAGCATGCGGCTCACCTGATGGTAATTGACTACCGCCACCCATGAACAACCGCAACACCAGGGGAATTGCAGATGCGTTGCCGGCCTTTTAGTAAGGTGTAAGCTTTTTTCTTGAAGGTTCCTAAGTCGTATCGGTTCGGAAAAATCGCCGGTGGTAAACAATTCCACAGAGAAGTTGTACGAGGAAGAAAACTCTTAGTAAAACGCACAGTCGTGGACCGCCAAGCATCCAGATGGTGAGGATGGTATCGTGAATTTTGACCCGATGTGCGTTCGTAAAATTTGGCTGCTGGAATTAATCCGAACAATTCCTCAGAGCATTCACCGTGGTAAATTCGATAGAAAATGCAAAGGGATGCAACATCCCTACGCAGTGCCAGTGTATCGAGCCGATCAGAAAGAAGTCGGTCGTCGACGATTCGAACCGCTCTGCGCTGGATGCGGTCAAGTCGAAGGACTGGGGTGCCTCGGCCCAGAGATGAGAACAGTATTCCATGTGAGGCCGAACTTGCGCTTTGTAAAGATGCAAGCGATGTGCCGGCATGAAATACTGTCCCGCTCTGCTGTGCACGCCAAGCTTTTTAGAGGCCAATTTGGCCTTCCCTTCCATTGACTACGAAACTACACACTATTAGATATGTCGACGCCGAGGATTCCGATGCTAGCTGACGCTGCAAGGGGAGTGCCTTGAAACTGAGGAGATACGACAAAGGGGTTATTTTTAGCGGTAAACGCGCAAACTTGTGTCTTCTGGGGATTGAACTGGACTAGATCTTATACTTCTTAAAGAATACAAATTGTTTATGGATCTTATCGTACTTGGCGTGTAAAATAGGAATTTTTGGATAATTTTGGAAGTGATTTCTATTAATTATGCCTGTATTAGGGACTCTATTCTTACTCCAAAGATTTAGGGCCTTGAGTCTAATGGCAGCTAAAGTCGCTTCTTCTTGTATGTGTAGATGAAGCGCGGTTAGCTCCAGCATCGCCTCTAAGGCTGCTGTTGGCGTAGTTCTTATGCAGCCTATGGCAGCCATACATGCCAGTCTCTGGTAACGTTGAAGCTTCTTTATAGTATATAGTAGTCTTTATAGTGGTTTTGGTCCACCGTACCAGAGCGCCGTATGTCAATATGGCCCGAATCACAGTTTTGTGTAACCACAGTATGATTTTTGGCGTTAGACCCCATCTTTTGCCAACCATGTTTCTGCATTGCCAGGAAGTTATACTAGCTTTGTTGATTTTGTTTTCTATGTGTTAGGATAGCTGGAGTTTTGTGCTGAAATGACTTGGGAGATGATAATTCAGCTTTCGTTTTTGTGTGAACATTACTAGAACCGTTTTATTTGGATGTACGGTTAAGTCGTATTCCCTGCACCATCTCTCCACTATACGGAGAGCCGCTTGGGTCAGGTTGCACACCATGCTTTCTGTCTTTCCAGAGACCAGTATTGTCAGGTCATCAGCATAACCTACTGTGTAGAAATGATTGTCATTTAATTTGCTGATGAGTTCATTTATCACCATATGCCACAGGAGGTGAAAGAGCTGCCCACAGGGTAGGGACCCTGTAGGCAGCCTTTCTCAATCTGGATTGTTTGAGATTCACCAGCAATATTTATTGTTCGTGTACTGAGCATGTTTAGTCCCCTGCTAAGCCCTCACAAGTCAAATCCAGTCAATCAATGACGGTTCAACTTTATGTCTCCTGAGTGCACTTTTTATGCTGGAGAAATTCGTTCTGTCAAAATCACCTTCTATATCTATGAAGGAACCAAGACATATTTCTTTGTTTTGGATGGCCTCTTCAATCTTTGTTATTACCTGGTGAAGTGCCTATTCTGTCGATTTACCTAAGCTGTAGACGTGTTGTTTGTCGTGTAGCGGTAAGTTCTTTAGTGCCAACCCCCTTAATTCCACATCCTCTCCAGTCTTTAGGAGAAAGAAAGTGAGACTAATGGGTCTGTAGGATTTAGGGTCTGTATCCCCCTCCCCCTCACTGTAGGAGTGCCGGGAATACGCCGTCAGGTCCTGCCACCTTGTAGGGGAGGAAACTGTGAATGGCCAAACGGATTTTTACCATTGTTACCACTCTCTGTGCTAGATTCCAGTCTTCTGCCGTTGGTATCAGTGCATCTTCATGCCGGTTTACCCCCTGAGTTACGCAGCAACCTGGGAAGTGCGTTTCAATTAGGATGCGTTAGACTTCGTTCAGCGATGTTGAGTAGCTTCCGTCGGGTATCTTTAAAGAGATGGATCCCGGCGTGTTCTGTTTAGCTAGGATTTCCTTATCCCTATATGGCCCTATTTAGGGCTTTTCTTACCTTCTTACGTTTTCTATCTAGTTCTTTACCCCAGCACGGTTGCTTTACCTCAGCATGTCTTGGTGGAGTGATTTCAGGACATGATTCACGGTAGCTATCTATCATGGCCTTAGTAACAGCTGCTATCTGTTCTTCTAGGAGAGACAGATCTGCTATAGTACTTATCCCCTCAAAACCCTCAAGCAAAGACTTCAGCCTATTAAGGTATTTTGTTTTATCCATCTTGCGAGGGTTTCACCATGGTGGTGTATCGGGGATATCAACCTGTAGTACGTAGCAGATCCACCTATGCACCTGCACTTCGTCTACCGATACAGGGCTGCCAATCGAGAACCTTTCTTTTCCATTGGTTGCCGGTTCTTCGGGCTATATGGCTGGCCCATTGCCACTTCAGCTTACTAATCCGTTCTAATGTATTATAGTAAACTTAAAAATCTTAAAATAATAAAAAACAAATTTATTTAAACACTGATACCGAAGAAAGGCAAAGGTCAAGGATTTTATTTATTATTTATTCTTTTATGTCGACTATAAAAAACTAACTTACCTGTTGAAAAATTTGTGACTGTAGAATTTTTCTTAGGAACGGTTGCATATTTTTTCTCGTTCTTACAAAAGCCTCTGGATTGAAAGTGATTAGTTGACCTTTCTCAATTCTTAAACAAACACATGCTTTATTAATTTTGAATATAAAAACACCAAAAACACTTCATTTGTTACAATATAATATAAAATTAAAACCATATTGCGGATATTTACAAACTAATTTCATTTAGTCAGTGTGATTTACCATCTTCGGCTGAATAGAATAGAATAGAATAGAATAATTTTTTATTCAATATTGATTATTACATAATTCTTATTGAGTCATTTTTTATTTACCACTGGTTCGGAAAATACCTCTGTCCTAGGAAAACCAGCAAGAAACCCAGCGAGGCTTTTTTTTTCAAACATATTTCACTTAACAATAATTTCGTTTATACAATTTTTAAATGATTTATCATTGAACCAGCATGGTGGCCGATCACCTTATTCCCAGGGGTTATTTTCATTCATGTATTCCTTGATATTATAATAACCCTTTTTGTACAGTCTTTCTTTAATAAAACTTTTAAACTTGTTTATTGACAAACTTCGAATATGTTCTGGGATTTTGTTGTAAAAGCGTATACATTGCCCCATAAATGAATTATTGATTCTGTGGAGTCTAGTAACTGGTATTACAAGCTTATGTTTGTTCCTAGTGTTTAAAGTATGCACATCCTTATTATTGCATCACCACTTAGCATCAGGTGAGATAGATAAATTATTTATTTTTGTGCCTAAATTCAGTTTTGGTTATTTAATATAGAAAATATCGAAAATATTAGATTTTATTTAATTTAATACCATCATTGATGATCAAAGTTTGTACACATATTTATTAACGTGTTTGTTGCTTTTTGGTAAAAAAATTATAATAAATTATGAATTAATAAAGGTGGATCTCTACTTTCTCTATTTTACAATACCAAAGATAAGACTCCAATCCAAAAGAATACTTGAATGCTTTGGTTAATGTGCAAATTAACCATTAAAGTTGCAGGCAATTTTATGGTTGACTTTTGGTTTATATGTTGGACTATATATTCATTATTATACAGAGGGAAACAAACCAGGAGATGGACAGCAGCGTCTTCCTATTAACTTAGAAATAAAAAACGGTGGTTGACAATCCGCCTGCCAAACGTGGCGACCGTGGCAAATATCCCCCCCATGGAGAATTCTGTGGAGAAGGTCTATGTTCAGCAGTTGACTTTTGATAGGCTATACCGATAATATAAAGATGTAAGTGGAAGCTTGGTATACATTTTGGGATTAATTTTTTTCTTTGTGCAGTTTTGTAAAATGTATCAGATCTAGAAAGAAATTTCCGAAACTCCTGTATAAATCTTATATTAAAAAATGTAAATTTTGTGCAAATGTCAAAAGATCAAATAGGATATCTGAATCTTAAGACATAACAACCATAAGTGACAGGTAATAAGACAGCAATACTCATTTTAATAAAGTAAAAAGTGACTGTATACAATCCAAACCATATTCGATAATAAATTGAATGTAACTTACCTAATAGCATCTCTATAGCCCCCTATAAGACATACTAAAGCTCGTAAGAATGCTCTCGACACGGCATCACCTAGCGCATTTTTATCACTTAAAGCTTTTTTCAGACTCGCTACCTAAAACAAAATTTGTATTATATAACATAATACACCAATTATAAAAGAAGTAAAATAAAGGCTGCAAAGCTCTACAGACGTGGGAAGTTAAAATAAGTTAAATTAAACAATATAAAATTCATAAACTTCGTTTTAGTATAAGGTGAACTTAATTTAATGCATAGTTACTATACTGATATTTGTATGTGAGGTGCACGAAAAATCAGATAGTGTGAAAGAGGGAGAGTGTGTGAGATATCAAGAAAGTGCATCAAAATTGGGGCATTAAATATCCCCTTTTTCCTTCATCCGTCTCTTAACCCCTTCCCCATTCGTTTTGCTTTTCATGACATAATAACGTGACGTTAGTAAGTTTGCTCTACTCTAGTCCACTTAAAAAGCTGTTTTGTAAATAATGTTTTCAAATCAAATTGTCACAAATCATAATCAATTCGCCGGGGGGTGGTGGTGTATAGAAAAGACTTAACATAATGAAAAATATAGATTTTTGTTTCAGGTATAGATGATATAAGCGACAAAATAATTGAAGGATCTTTAGTGCTATATAATGCTATTAGTATCTCATATTGTACTTGAGACGAGAAACAGTGTCAAAAGAGAATTTACAACACAGTTAAGTTTTATAAAACAATATAAATCTTAATATAATACTGTGGACAAAAAATAGTAAGACTTTGTTCATAATTTTAAAATTCTTTATTTATTCTGGCAAATCTATTTCGTCCCCCTTAAAGTAATCCCCTCGGCCGCAATACACTTATGCCAACGTATTTTCCAATCCTCGTAACAGTTGTTAAATTCAATTTCCGGAATAGCCTTCAATGCGCCTATCGATTCACGTTTATGTCTTCAATTGACTCAAAACGGTTTCTCCGGAGCGGTCGCTTGAGTTTGCTGAACAGCCAGAAGTCGCACGGAGCTAAATCAGGCGAATACAGTGGTTGTGGAACGATATTAGTTGAATTTTTGGCGAAAAACTCACGAAGAATCAATGCAGTACGCGACGGTGCATTATCGTGGTGCAAAAACAAAGAGTTGTCGGCCCATAATTCCGGCCTCATTTTACGAATAGCTTCGATCAAACGACGCATAATACTCAAAACTATTCCTTGTTGACAGTTTGGCGGGTCGGAAGGAATTCGGAGTGCACCACACCTCGATGATCGAAGAAAACTGTCAACATGACCTTGATTTTTAACTTGCTTTGTGGTGGTTTTTTCGGCTTCGGCTCACCTTTGGCACGATATTCGGCCGATTGATCGTCTGTTTCCGGGTCTTAAGCGTAGATCCAAGACTCGTCGCCAGTTATAATACGTTTAATGACATCCTGGTAGTCGGAAAGCATTGTTTCACAGACTAAAATTGAGTGATTTTGGAACCAATCGTGCATTCACTTTTCTTAGGCGCAAATGATCTTTTAAAATGGTTTTCAGTGATGCTTCCGATATTCCAACGATATCAGTAAGGTCTCTGACTGTTAATCGTCGATTATCGAGCACCAATTCCTTGATTTTATTGACGTGCTGATTATTAGTTGATGTTGATGGCCGTCCTGGACGTGGTTCGTCGTCAACGCGTTCTCGACCCTCTTTGAATAATTTGTACCAATCAAAAACACTTGCTCGCGACATACAATTATCACCGAAGGCCTGTTGCAACATTCTAAACATTTCGGCACCAGAAATTTGATTCCGCACATAAAATTTAATGGAACTTCTTTGTTGAATAATTTCACTCATTGTAAAAATCGCCGAATGCACTTATTGTACTTCAGAAAGACAAGCGTATATTAAACACTAATGATTACCTTGATGTGATATTTGACACAGATGTCACTGCCAGTCATACCAACGTAGAAAAAAAATTCGACGAATAGATTTCCGCGCGAAATTGAAATTAAAATGTCTTACTATTTTTTGCCCACGGTAGTAAAACTGTTTTATAATACATTATTCGTATATAAATTGCTCGTAAACAATGTATATAAAATATGTAACCATTATGTACCTCAGAATAGATTTTGATAGTACAATAATTGTGAAAATCACTTACCATATCAGGCGGAAGACTTTCTAAGTCATTAAAAGGAGATCTAAGTTCATTCGCATCTACATCTAATACAACTACATCACCTATCTCCGACATTTTTACAGCCTGTAACAAAAATACAATGAATGCAATTAAGTTTAAACAGTTACAATTTTCTTTTAAGAAGTAGATAACTTTGTCCTCACACGCAACACGCCCGCGTTAACGCACACGCACACACACTAACACGCGCACGTACTTACTCACACACGCACAGACGTATAACAAGTTAATATGGTAACACGTAAAAAATTATTTCATAACTAGCTGTTCCCCGCGACTTCGCCCGCGTGTTATTTGGGGTTTTAATTTTTTTGCGCGGATCCCTAATTCTTTTTCTAAAATAAAAGTAGCCTAAGTTACACAGCTATCGTTATTGACAATAGCTATCTGCCAGTGGAAATCTCGTCAAAAGCGATCCAGCCGTTTCGGCGATTAGCCAGAACACAGACAAACGGACAGACAGACAGACAAAAACTTTAAAAATTGTATTTTTGTTATTAGTACCGTATATACTTTCATATGCATTTAGTAAAAAGCTGTAATTTTGACATTATAAACAGACACTTCAATTTTATTTATTTGTATAGATTAATAAAAAATATGATATATTAAATTTAAAGCAAGTGGAAAAAAGTAAAAAGGCACAGTGATTTTGCTCCCCCAAGGAAGATACTTCTGCTATCTCCTAGGTTTGATTATTATTTCGTATGGAGTAATTTTTCATTCAATATAACTATATAAAATAGTTACTAATATGTTGGAAAAAAAGTTCCTACGTATTTTGTTTGTATAAAATTAAAAAAAAATCTCTTTAGTTGTACTGCTTGTATCTGGCTAGTTTTATCATATCAACATATAGATAGGATATTAAAAAAATAAAAAGTAAAAACACTTTCCCGCCATTTTTCAATTGTTTTTCTGTCCGCCAAAATGATTGAATCTAGCGAAGAAGTTTGATACATACTTGGACTCAATGGAGAGACGTGCTAAGAGGCTCATTGGTGACCTTGATTTGGTTGAGACCAATCTTGTCAGTCTCGAGTACAGGCGCAGAGTAGCCAGTCTCTCGGTATTCTATAGGATGCATTTCGGTGAGTGTGCGCAGGAATTACACGCTTTAAATCCTCCCTCTCATTTCCACCATCGGACAACCAGGCGGTCGGCGGGTCTTCCTCCCTTTGTTGTCGATATTCCGCGCATTAGAACGAAACGGTTTGCATCGTCTTTTGTAATGCGTACAGCAAAGGAGTGGAATAATTTGCCGGCGTCAATCTTTCCGAACGAATACAATCTGAGCGTCTTCAAGGCAAGAGTGAATAGGCTTTCGTTACGATAAGACAGTGCGATTTACCATCTAAGGCTGCATCACCACTTACCACCAGGTGGGATTGTGGTCAAGCACTGGCATATAATAAGTTAAAAAAAAAAGAAAAAAGAATGATAATACATTCATTACAGTTGAGTGATTAGACGATACGCCTCAAGTATCTCATCCATTCACTTCGGAGCCGATATCGTCTGCAGCCTTCAGATCCTGCAATCCACCACCTAGCTTCACAAGGATTCATCGTAGCACCCGAATAACGTTTCATGTTTCATGTTCGTCAGTAGACATAAAGTTGAAGCGGCACTGATCGACTGGATAGTATACATGCTCAGTACACGAATAATAAAGATTGCTGGTGAATCTCAACCAATCCAAATTAAGAAAGGCTGCCCGCAGGGTGGGGTTTTCTCACCTCTCCTGTGGAATATGGTCATTAATGAACTCATCAGCATATTAAATGCAAATCACTTCTACACAGTAGGTTATGCTGATGACCTGACAATACCGGTCTCTGGAAAGACAGCAAGCATAGTGTGCGACCTGACCCAAGCGGCTCTCCGCATAGTGGAGAGATGGTGCAGGGAATACGACTTAACCGTCAATCCAAATAAAACGGTTTTAGTAATGTTCACACAAAAACGAATGCTGAATAACTATCATCTCCCAAATCATTTCAGCACAAGACTCCAGCTATCCTCCGAGGTAAAATATTTAGGTCTTACCTTGGACAGCAAACTTAACTGGAATAAACACATAGAAAACAAAATCAACAAAGCTAGTATAACTTTCTGGCAAACATGATTGGCAAAAGATGGGGACTGACGCCAAAAATCATACTGTGGCTTTACAAAACTGTAATTCGGCCCATGATCACATACGGCGCTCGGTATGGTGGACCAAGACAAATGAAGCCACCATAATTAAGAAGCTTCAGCGCTACCAGAGACTGGCATGTATGGCTGCCACAGGCTGCATGAGAACTACGCCAACAGCAGCCTTAGAAGCAATGCTGGAGCTAACTCCGCTTCATCTACATATACAACAAGAAGCGACTTTAGCTGCCATCAGACTCAAGACCCTAAATCTTTTTAGTAAGAATAGTGTCCCTCATACAGGCATAATTGATAGAATTCACACAAAAATTCCTATCCTACAAGCCAAGTACGATAAAATTCCTAAACAATTTGTTTTCGATAAGAAGTACAAGATACAATTAAATGATAACAGCCAGCCGGAAGGATTAAGCCCAAAAGAGCTTAGAGTTTTCACCAATGGTTCTAAAACAAATGAAGGTGTAGGTTCTGGAGCTTTCTCTGAAGACCTCAATATTCACATGTGTACACCGCTGGGTACCTATAACACGGTCTTTCAGGCGGAATGTATGGGTATCATTCAAGCGGCCATAGCAATAGATGCTAGGAAGGTTAATGACTTCCCCATCAGAATACTGACCGACAGTAGGGCGTACTACAAGCTCCGAGTTGCAATGTGGTGAACTCGGAACTATTATATGAATGCCATCAACGATTAAATGAGGTATGTAAAAACAACAATGTGACTCTGCAATGGATAAAGGGACACAGTGGATCCAGAGGCAACGATGCAGTAGACGAACTGGCCAGAAGAGGATCGGCTCTGGCCACTATAGGGCCGGAACCAATCATACCAATCCCCTTTGGTAACGTTCGTTCACTGGTACGTAGACACTTCACTAATCAACATGCTCAGCTTTGGAAAAATCTAGTAGACTGTAGACAAGCTAGAGAGGCCCTGCCTGAAATAAACAGTCGCTTAACCAAAGTTTTAATGAGACTGAACAAGCCGCAGATCAGGATAGTAACAAGTGCTATCACAGGACACGGCACCTTTAACAAACATTTATTTACTATAGGTGTTACAGATAGTCCCCTGTGCAGGGCATGTATGGGGGAGGAAGAAACGGCGGCCCACGTGCTACTGAAATGTCCGGAGGTCGCTATGTACAGGGCTAAACATCTCGGCACGCCGGGATCACTCCCCGAAGTTGCATGCAACATCAAGGGACTGTTGAGCTTCTTCGGGGAGATCTCATGGCTGGAATAATCACATTATTCCTGCCCACACGCAAAATACCCGCATAGACGTGGAGTTGCGGAAAACAGCCCGTCGTAAACTAAACTAAACGTTTCATGTTCCTTCAAGCTACTCTCTGCGCTACAATGTTCGCACGGCTCGGAAGCCAAGCTTTACTGCTCACATCTACTTCACGGCACTATCGCATGTTACTTGACTCATTCTTAACTCACCACAGACCACAAAGGCAATTCCTGGCACTTGCACATTCGTCGACAACTGAACTGTGCACTATCGACCTCCAGTCTGGGCAGGGGATGGGGGAGGGAGTTAATGTAGCAGCGCTGTCGCCCAAACTAGTATTCTCCTACAATGATAATGCCACTTTCATACATACATAACATTTCTGGGAGGGTTTAAACCCAAAAGAATTTAGAATTTTCACGGATGGTTCCAAAACAAATGAAGATACAGGATCTGGAACTTTCTCGGAAAACCTCAATATCCACATATGTACACCACTGGGTACCCATAACATGGTCTTTCAGGCAAAATGTATGTGTATAATCCAAGCGGCCATAGCGATAGATGCTAGGAGAGTAAAAGACTCCTTCATCAGAATACTGACCGACAGAACGGCGGTACTACAAGCTCTGAGTTACAATGTGGTAAGCTCGGAACTAATATATGAATGCCATTATTGACCAAATGAGGTATGTAAACACAATAATGTGACTGTACAAAGGATAAAGGGACACAGTGGACCCAAGGGCAACGATGCAGCAGATGAACTGGCCAGGTGAGGATGGGCTCTGGCGACTATAGGGTCATAACCAATCATACCAATCCCTTTGGTAATGTTTGTTGACTGGTACGTAAAAACTTCACTAACCAACATGCTCAGTTTTGGAAAAATTTGTAGACTGTAAACAACTAGGGAGGCCCTGCCTGAAATAAAAAGTCATTTAACCAAGGTTTTAATGAGATTGGACAAGCCACAGATTAGAATAGTAACAAGTGCTATCACAGGAACATGGCTCCTTTAACAAAGATTTATTTACCATAGGTGTTACAGATAGCCCTGTGCGGGGCATTTATAGGGGAGGAAGAAACGGCGGCCCACTTGTTGCTGACATGTCCAGAGGCCGCTGCATACAGGGCTAAACATCCTGGTGCGCCGAGATCACTCCCCGAAGTTGCTCGCAACACCAAAGACTGTTGAACTTCTTGAGGGATTTCATGGCTCGAATAATTGCATTATTCCTGCCCACACGCAAAATACGCGCTTAGACGTGGAGTTGCGGAAACACTTTGATACATTTCGTACTAAGTGAGAAATTTTTGTATTCATTATTTTCTTCTCAGAAACGGCTCCAACTTTTTGAATGATATTTTGTAATTAGATAATGTTTTTACAACCCTAGTTTATCTAAGTAGGTTTCATCCCAGAAAGAACTATTTTTCAACACCAATCTTGGTTCTATAGGTACTAATAGTAGAAGTGACCACATTGTTATATGTTATATTTTTATGTGACGTTTTAGTTAGTTTTATTTACACTAAAGAAAAGCACTATTAACTAGCCCTACCCAAAAGCACTACACTTCATGAAACCACAAAAATCTCATCTTTGTTCCGGCAACATTTCATTATAATAATTATGGTAAGTTAACTTTAAAGTTAACATTATAATGGTAAGTTAATTTTTCCCGTAGTGGTGACATGTGACGATAGAACATTGCCAGAATAGTCTCTGAGCAGTGACAATAAGTGAAATACACATATCACTTCCATCAGGCAAACAATTAAGTGGCGTTTCATCTCCTGAAGTCTGCTTCGCTAGGTTATCAACTGTCTCATTTCCTTCCAAACTGTGATACAATGTGAAAGTAAGGTATGTAACATAATCCTCCATGATCCATCTGCTGTTAATTCAACCATAGTCTTGATTATAGTGTAGGCTACTGTTGTGCCTCGAAAATTCGAAGTACAACTAGCCAAGTATTGGAGGGGACTTCGGGAGTCTGTATAAATGACATTGAGTTTACTGTTTAATTATTAAATATAAGATAAAATTTCTGAAATTGCTAGTAACTCGGTGTGCATTATCGAGATTTTAGAAATTAACTTTCAAATTAATAGATTTAACTAGTTATTTTACCGATCAAAAATAAAATGGTTTACTGATCAAAAGTATCCACTCCAATTCCATCTTCATTAATAGTCCATAAGAATTTTGTAATAATCTGAATAACTCGGGTCTATTAGTTAAATGCTGATAATTTCCAGTGTTACATGAATTCTCTGGAGAAGTCAATGACCATTGTGTCCATCTTTAAAATACTCATGAACTACTAAAAGTATCTGTTTCTTTTTTTTCCAAAATGCAGTAGCAATATCATTTCAATTATATTATTTGATTGGGTTTTCAAGATATTTATAGCAAGATTACTAAGAAAAGCATTTCATTCAAAATAAAATTTCCCCACCAGCAATAAAGGGCAATATACAGAGATAATATTTTCTACATGATCACAATCATAAACTTTTACATGAATGATTTCTATTTCAGAGTTAGTCAAATATAATTGACAAAGATGTGAATTAATGAACTTAAGTGTCAATATGACCTCTCCTCCATAAGAATCAACCCGATTCTTGCAGTAAATTTTATAGTTGATTATGTTAAGCGGACTTTCAGGCTCTAACCATGCATCAGACAAAGCAACATGCTTGGGCAGCTTTCATTAAATGAGAAATGAACCTCAGTTTTAGTTTATCACTTTCAATTCTTTTTTATTTTGCTACCCACCTTCATTTATTCACCATTATCTCGACTACAGCTTTTTGGTAGTATCGCACTATTGTTTATTTGTATCATCACTATTACAGTATGGGTCTTCGTCTTTACATTGGTTATTATGTTACCTTCCTGCTTCAACTCACTTATCGAACTATTGCTTATTATTAAAAACAATCCATAGCATGCCGATTGATTAGTAATTCAGAACCGGTTTGTGACGGGATTGCTACTTCACATGAGTGTCAACAAGACTATATATACATAAATCAGGAATTCTTTTTAAAATGAAATAAACCGTATATAATTATTGTTCTTATTGTATATATAAATATTGTCTTGCATCGACAGTAGTCTATTGGCAGGGTGCGAACCGCGAACTCAAAATGTCGTGGGTTCGAATCCAATGTTCGACTACTTTAGTGAACCACTCCTAACACAAGCATTTCAAGCTTACCGGGAGTGGTTAAAGAGAATATTAGTGATGTTAATAGCATTGCATGTATTTTTTAAATGTATTAAAGTATAATAAACAAGACCTTATATAAATAACATTTCAGTGATATACCTTCAGAGTGAACCATTGTTACGTATGAAGATTTAGATAAATATTAAGTTTTATAACAATGAAGACAAAGCAATAAATAGTATAACATCTTACCTCCATAACACTTCTAGGAACTCCAATAAGAAATGGCATAGGCGCCAATAAATAATCTACAAGATGTTTTGGAAGTATTGGTATGAATATGTGCTGCCATGACATGGGGAAGAGCATTGCATTGGCGGCCTGCACGCACGCGGACAATCTGGAGGGCTTAGTAGCAACAATAGCCACTCTACGCTCGTGAAGTAAAGCCGCCCATAGACCTGCCATGCATTTAGCGTCCATGGCACTGAAGTACTCCGTAAGGTTACACTGAAAATAAAAACCGAATATAAAAATATTTTTTTATTAATTAAGTCCCTAACATTATACGGATTTCATTATGGTTAATTTTTATTTATATTAATCTCAGTTTCCCTCTGTCGCCTTTTTTATATTCTACTAAGCGCTTATCTACAGTCCCACCTGATGGTAAGTAGCCTAAGATGGTGAAGTGCACTGACTTAACAAAAGCCTATTCACTTTTGCCTTGCAGACACCCACACTGTAAACAGATGGAAAGACAGATCCTGGCACATTATTTCACTCCTTTGCTGTACGCATGATGAACGACATGGCGAACCGTTTGGTTCGAATGCGTGGTAAGTCAACAACGAAAGGGTGGAGACTGGACGAACGTCTGGTTGTCCGGTGGTGGAAGAGAGAGCGGGGAATTAAATTATGCAATTCATGCGCACACTCTCCAAAACGCATTCTGTAGAAAACCGAAAGGCTGGCTACTTTGCGTCTGTGTTCGAGGGTGATAAGATTGGTTTTAACCAAATTTGGGTCATCAATAAGCCTCTTAGCACGCCTATTCATTGAGTCCAAAGCTGCTAGGTGGCATTTTACAGCACCAGCCCATATATGGCAGCAATACTCCATGCACGACCGGACTTGCGCTTTATATAAAGTAAGGAGCTGTCCCGGCGTGAAGTATCGCTGCACCTTTGCAAGGACTCCCAGCTTCCTTGCAGCTGCTTTGGCCTTGCATTCAATGTTCCGCCCGAAGTTCAGATTTGAGGATATCTCAAACTTTAACATTTGAAGGCAGTCGGTATATTCCAGTTATTAGTCTGAAAGAAGGAGCCAAGGTAAGCTGGCTCCTTTTTGCAGTGAAGAGACACGCTTGCGTTTTGGAGGCGTTGAATTTCACAAGATTGGCATCGCCCCATTTGAAGACTGCCTGTAGTGTGAGATTCACACACTCTACCCTAGCTTCTCTTTCGGCTTCTTAAGACAACCACAGAATGACATGGGGTAGTGAATATACTACCACTACACGGTTAGAAAGTGATAACAACTCCAAATAATAAAAAACTGCGGTTGCCAACCATCTTGCCAAGCGTGGCAGCTATGGCAGGGGGATCCCTAAGAGGTTATCTATGGGGAAGACCTATGTTCAACAGTGAGCTTTAATAGGCTGTCACGGTAACGATAATGATAAATTGATCTTAAATTTTCAAACATGTCACATCCACAAGAGTAAATTTCCAGTAAAGTATCGAAAATTTTAAATAATGTTAAAATAAGTCACGATAAAATCCAAAAAATTGTTTCCATTTAATATGTAAAGTAGTAATGCTACACATGCTTTGAAATAATAATAAATCAACCAATATACTGCACAGGACTCCCCTCATAATTTCATAATGTATTGCGTGTTGTCGTACTTAACATATCCCCGATACATATTTTTTTTTTATATGATGATAATAAGGGTGACAAACGAGCACACAGTCCACCAGATGCTAAGTAGATGTTGTGGCCCATAGACATCTACATTTATCCTGGATTAAGAATTAAAATGCATATGCGTCGTCACCCGTGAGGACTAAGATGGAATACCTCGTTTCCAGTAAAAAGGGTCTCCGGTTCTCTACACTCATCATACGAAACACGGCAGTGTTAAGCTGCTATTTTACGCTGGTATTCTGTGAGAGAGTGGTCCTTCCCCGATCAAGCCGACCCATTCGCGCTACAGCGATAATGTAGCTGGAGCGTGGCTCTACCACGTAGATCTATGAGGGAATGCCTCGTTTTCAGTAAAAAGGGTAATTACAATCAAAAAAACTTACATTTTCCGGAATGCTCGGCAGTTTAGTGTCAGGACTCTGGCAAGAGAACACGCTGTGACCCGCATTGTAGGTCACTTTAAGCGTGTGTCCGGGCATAGGTGGCCGTATTCGGCATGCTTCTAAAAATGACGTGAGCTCTCCACTTTCAGAACTATTTAATAAATTTGCTATACAATTCAACAACCTGAAATGAAATCAGTTAGTAACTAGAAGTTGCTTAGAAAGCAAGATATTGTTTACATTATCTGGCAAAATAAACATTAATCAATTGCAGTACTAGCCAAGTGCTAGCATAAAAACCACTAACACCTTATCTTTTTTATAGAATAAGGGTTACAACAAGCACATATTGCACCTGTTTGTTGGTGGTTGCTGTGGCCTATAAACTCACTACAAACACTACCCTCTATTAAGAATCATAATGTAGATGCGTTGTAGGATTGATTACCAGAAAAAGCGTCACCTTCTCTACCTTCATTTACGATACGAAACATAGTAGCATTGCGGCTATTTTACGTTGGTATTCTGTAAGACCACATCCAATTTCCCAGTTGAACCAACCCATTTATGATAAAGTCAAAATATAACTGTACCACATACCATCTCTTGTGGCTGGTGGGTATTATAATAGACGACTTAACAAATGACGCAGAAGATCTTAAAACTCAATGTAACCATCTCGTATTAAAACTCATAGTACTCAATATCATCCTGTGGGCGTCATAAGAGGCGACAGTGGGACTCTTAAACAGAAGATGGGCGACAGTATGTTTCTTCCAGAGCTCAAATAATGGAAAACAGTTGTTGTCAACCCATCTGCCAAATCTGGCAACTATGCATTATAAATTATGAGCAATCTAAGGGGGATCTATGTACAGCAGTGAGTGAGTAACTTTTGATAGGTTTAAATTAATGAATGAATTATAGACTAAGATCGACGACGTAAAGTAACGTCAAAAGTGACCTCTGGTAGTCATAGGGGACTGGTAACGATCGCTAATCCATCTGCCAAATGGGGCACTCTCAGTTCTTTGCAAATGGGCTGATAAAGATTATAGCTCAAAGAAGAAGAACAACAACAGGAAATAAGACGATAAAAATCTGTTGCTACATAACTAGAAGTAGCCAAACATACAGAATACATTATATTGAAATTAAGCATTCGCTAATAGCAATCGCTTGTACTAGCAAATAAGAAAATCAAGAAAACTCATTACTGGGCCAACAATTTTCAAACGCCAAAATGAATTAAGTGTAACCTTTGTAATCCTTTTTATTAAGGTGTACAATAAAGTATTAATATAAATGCGGAATTATTAACCGGGCGAATAAATAACATATAGATGACTGTTAATGAGATACTTTAATAATAACCCGAGCGGTATTATATTATGTTTTCGAAAAATTTACTTAACTGGCGATAATTATGAATGACTAAAACTACGTAAAATGAGCTACTAACAGTGACAAACATTAATTCTAAGCAAGCGACTAAAATTCCAAGTGTCCGAATTAAATATTAAATTTGGCGAAAAAAATACTGAGTGGTGACAGTAGGCTTAAGGTGCGCCTGGGGTGGGCCTTGAGCCACCCTAAAGCCAGTACATTATAATAATATAAAATATAATATTGAAAGAATTGAACTTTTTAATTTACAACATTCAAAAAGTATAAGTCAAAAGTAGTTTTGACTAACATTCTTAGTCAACATAGGCCTATAATTATTTCCCTAAATGAGTCTAGTAAGATAGTTATATTACTAAATTAAATTTGTTCACTTGAGAATTATTATACTGATCGTTCTGAATAATCGTAACTCAAATTCATATTTTTAAGTCACCATTTTCAATGTTTGTGTTCGCCCTCAGTCTTTCCCCACTTAGTATTTCAGTGTGCCATATTCTGTATTTTTGACACCCTTAATTTGAATTTATATTCCGTCGTTTAAATACCAAACTAAATAAGTGTCCCTAGCTAAGATTCATACTCATGACTTACACTTTCATCATAATTAACGATTGACAAACCCATTGTAGCCCCCTACTAATCTCAATGATTATTTTGTGGATCTTCTGAATTTTAAAATTTTCTAAGTATAATTAGATATTTAGACAAAAAGTGATTTTGTTATAATATGCATGATAAACACAAAATTTTACATACCCGAAAATATTACATGATGAAAAGCGAATACTTAAATAACAGCATTTTAATTTCATTTTAAGTACTATGGCAAACGCAGAATTTAAATAGAGAACAAAAGAATGTGCACAAAAGGTGTGGAAGCTAGCACTAGTACGCCAAGCATTTGTTTTATTTAACAGAATTCATTATTTGTTCATTATTATATATATAATATTTTTTAATGATTTCATTTAACAGAAGTTGAATATCAAAACAAAGAATTTAGTACAATCGCTTTGCACATTTTATGATCCATTTGCAAATAAGCAGTAAATAAAGAACTGCAACTGCTATAACATTTTAATCTTAGAAAAATCAATATATAACATTAACACAATATAGGTGTACATGTCATTACAACAGCAGCAGTCTAATAAATCCATCACCCCTTAACACTGTACAGATGCAGGTGTTTTTAGATTCGACATATGGAAATGTCTTTTGGTAGATGTTGTCTATCACAAATATACGCAAGAGGACCATAAAATATAAAAAAGGACTAGCACTGTGATCTGTGATCTTATCATCACAGGACAAGTAATGTGCCGTAATTTAATAACGCCTGCTAGGAATCAAACAGAAGTGCTCACTAACCCTAATATTTTAGATATGTTACTACAAAGATATCAAGTCAATGTCAAAGTTGTTAGAATCAATCACTTAATCGCACGCCAAAGCTTATTCATGCAGATAAATTCACATTTATATTAAATTAACAGGTTTTCACACTAACAGTACAAGATAGTTTATATATTATACAACAAAAACGCCAGCATGTTATTGCATATTATTCTTATCATATTATATATTTTAGATTTGACAATGTTTAAATTATGAAGAGTAAATTAATATTTTATTAATTATATAAAATAAGAAATATTTAACGAGATATAGCTACAATGTAGCTATATTATGATTTCAGCATGCATGAGTCAGCGTAACTGCTGAAGAACAACAGAATTCACATAGTACTTTCACACCACAGTACTGACACGGAATACAAGTGTAAAATAACAGCTTAATGCTGCTATGAAACATATGATGAGTTTAGAGAGCCACAGACTTTTTAATGATGGACATTCTATTTAAGTCATTCTACCTAAGCCTCAGGGGTGACAAAGCACTTGCATTATAATTGCTAATAGAGGATGAATGTAGTTTTCTACGGGTCACAGCATCCACTTAAAATCAGGTGAACGGTGTGCATGTTTGTTGCGTTATTCAAACCACAAGCTGCAATTTGCATAAAGAAATTATCCACTATCACATATATAGCTGTTAGTTAATAAGTAATTTTATAGTTTCCCATACATCCCCCCAAAGTCAAACATACATAGTAAGGAATAGGTCATATATTCATTTAACTTACTTTATTTTATAGTTACTTTATTAACTTCCTTCTGCGTAGCATTGAAAGGAAGTTAATGGTTTTAGCTGGCAGTCTGTTAGTCTGTATGCCGACACGATAACGTCCGTTCCACTGGACCGATTGACTTTAAATTTGGTATGTGGATACCTTGAGGTAGTAGCTCGGTCGAGTTTGAATTTGGGTCCTGTAGCTCAAAGGGCACCAGAGATAGGCAGCAGAAGGAAGTTGTTTTTCTTGAATTTACATTCAACTCGTTTTAAATATAAGACCAACATTTGCATTGCAGTTTAAGTATGTACTTATAATATATATATATATATGTGATGTTTCAAATAAATGCAAGCAATTCCTTACATTAATGTGCACATTTTAGTACAAAGAAATTTAAATTAAAAAATCGTTCTTTGCATTACCCATGCAGATGCTTGTTATTATCTAAAATATATTAGAGAAACATTCCTCTGTTTAGTTTACTGTTCACTTTTGTATGTACATTAAATAGAGACACTATTACTACTTACTTGTAAAATATATCATGCCATGGTAAATGTGAGAGCAACACCAGAGCTGCATTGGTTTTGGGATCATAACGGCAAAAGCAAAATGTGTACTTGGAATCCACAGAAGTCAACACAAATGAATAATGTTGAACAAATGAACTGGAATAAGAAAAAAAAATATAACACCCAGAAAAAACCGTCCAAATGTGAGTCGGACTCACGCATTAATGGTTCAGTATTATCGTAAAACAATTTCTAGTAGGGGACTCCCCTTTAATTTTTATTTATTTTTATTATTTCTTGTTATAGTGGCAATATAAATACACATTCTGTGAAAATTTCAACTGTGTACCTATTAAGGATCATGAGATACAGCCCGCTGACAGACTGATGGACATACGGACAGCTGAGGCTTAGAAATAGACCCCATTGGTTACCCTTTGGGTACGGAACCCTATAAATGGTTGATCCATACAGGTAATTCTTCACACTATAGTATTCTGATAATATGGCTTAAATTTATGAGTTTATTTTTTTTTATTGGAGAAGGGGCAAACGAGCATGCGGCTCACCTGATGGTAAGTGACTACCGCGCTCCATGAACAACCGCAACACCAGGGGAATTGCAGATGCGTTGCCGGCCTTTTAAAAAGGAGTAGGCTCTTTTCTTGAAGGTGCCTAAGTCGTATCGGTCCGGAAAAATCGCTGGCGGTAAACTATTCCACAAGGAAGTTGTGCATATTGCATAATTTCTCGGGAAGCCCATAGGAAGGGAGCTTCGAAAGAAGCGCTTTGTGCCAAACCCGATCGAAGGCCTTCGCAATGTCCAAACTAACGGCCAATGCCTCCCCCTTGGACTCTACTGCCTCCGCCCATCTATGAGTTAAGTAGACCAGAAGATCACCAGCTGATCGACCCCGACGAAAACCGTACTGGTGGTCACCAATCAGCTGGTGATCCTCAAGGTACCGCATGAGGTGGCAGTTTATAACGGTTTCCATTATTTTGGAGAACAAGGGGGTGATGGCGATAGGCCTGTAGTTGGACGGGTCTGAGCGGTCGCCTTTTTTAGGGATCGGGTGGACAAAAGCTGTCTTCCATGATTTCGGGACTACGCCTAGGGAGTAGGAGTACCGGAAAAGACGCGTTAGAACCGGTGCCAACTCCGGAGCACACGTCCTCAGCACAATTGGGGGGATTCCGTCAGGCCCACTCGACTTGTGGATGTCAAGGGAGAGGAGTGCTCTGCGAACCGAGCGCTGTGAGAACCGCACATCCGGCATGGAGCACTCACACTGCGGGATGGTCGGCGGTGTGTTCCCCCCGTCATCAACAGTCGAGTTGGACGCAAAAAGGGAGCCTAAAAGGTCGGCCTTCTCTTTTGCATCGTGGGCCAGTGAGTCGTCCTCCCTGTGCAGAGATGGTAGTGATGGCTTACAGAAATTCCCTTGGACAGCCTCGGCGAGAGACTAGAATGAACGGGTTCCCGAAGGAAGGCGAACTAGTTTCTCGCCAATTCTGCCTATGTGCTCTGACTTTGCCTTGGCAATAACTCTTTTGAAGGACCTGGAGGCGAATGGAATTATTAAATGTTTCCTTCAATAGTTGACTTATTTTCAAACAATAGTGAAAATGAACTAAGGTATTTGTTACTATTTATTCAAAGTTTTTAAATTCCAAAAATCCAATTTAGATCTATTATCAATAGTAACAATGATTATTTAATATAAATAAATATAAGAGAAATATGTGCTACTGAATGGAACAATGAATTATTGACTTACTAGTATATTCTAATTACAAGAATTTATGATACCCTCTCATAAATGAGAAAAAGCTTATGTTCAGCAGTGAAAAATATACCTAGTCAGGTCATAAATTCTGTCACATGTTTAATATAAAATAATAGAAACAAGTTTATTCATTATGTTACCATTTATATACGAAAATGAACTTAACAAAACATAGATTCTTATGACACTAAAGTTTATTCAAAATGACCTCCGTGATTTTGAATACAGGCCTTCAATCTGCGCGGCCAGTCGTCTATCGCAGCACGAACGAGGTTCATGTCAATATCAGCGGCTGCCTTAATCAAGGATGTCTTGAGTGACTCCAAATTGGGATGAGGCTTTGAGCACACCTTTTCCTCCAAGTGTTGCCATATCTTGTAATCTAACAGATTCAAATCTGGACTGGAGGAGGGCTAGTCTTCGTGCCGGATGAAGTTGATTTCACTCGCCGCTAGCCAGTCTTGTGTGCTCCTCGCTCTATGAGATGGCGCCAAATCTTGTTGGAATACCCAGTGCCTGTTATTGAACATGGTATGAGAAACAGGTTCCACAAGGTTCATCAGGACTGTATTTTGATACACAACTGCATTCGTTTTTACACCTTTCTCACAAAAATGTACCTCTGTTAAGCCCCAATAAGAAACTCCCAACCATACCATGAGCGAGGATGGAAAATGACCTCGTTGGACACGCGGAATACGGTTGCTCGCTTCTTCACTACTGTGTGAGTACACCTTATCATTTTGATTGTTGTAGCTCTCTTAAACGGTAAAAATTTTTTCATCCGAATAAAGAATTTCCCGATTTTTCCCACGTACCGCTTCAACAAAGCGCGGCATCTCTTCAGTTTCAGGTCCATTAGACGAGCATTCAAACGATGTCCTGTTTTTTTTCGATATGCCCGAAGCCCTAAGTCTTCATTTAACACCCTTTTCACTGTGGTTCTGCTTAACCCCATCTGAAGGGCAAACAGTTTCTGCTTACGTTTGGGATTTCTTTGAATTCGCGCCTTCACAGCTTTTATCACTGCTGGAGTCCTAACAGACCGAGGGCGACCACTTCTTGACTTGACATCTACACTAGAGTCTTCATTGTATCATTTGATGGTACGATAAACGAATCTTTTGGTTATATTCAAATTTTTCAGTGGGTCAAAAATTTGAATTGGTGCGTAACCGCAACGATGCAACACAATAACTGCAACACGGTCTTCTTTAAGCGTCCACTCCATATTTAAAAATGAGTAAAATTCTAAAAAGTATACAGTTTTATTTTCATGAACAATTCAAAATTCGAATTCAATAAACATTTTTGTGGCCAGCATTCTAAAAGAAAAGTTTTTACTGTGTGACAATACTTATGTATTGTCACACAGTAAAAACCTGACCTGACTAGGTATGAGGTGTATCTAAGTTTATTGTGACATTAAATGAACACATTTTACTTTAGACCATAGAGCAAATTTACAAAAACACATATTTGTTTATATTCTTTATGACTTAAGCTTTTAGAAGTATAATACTACAATGATGAAATTTTAATATTAGGAAACAATGTAATGAATGATATGCAATATCACTTTCATAATAGTTCAAACCCATGTCCAAATGAGGCAACAATACTTCATTTGTATGTCATACATGAACTCTTGCCTTGAAAGAAGATTCATAGTTTATATTATGTCATAACAAGTATGTACAGATAATTGCATCATAATATTATAACCACATACTTTTCTATAAATTTTCAACATTGTCAAAATAATTGTTCTTCTCCAATTTTTGAATGGAATTCCACAATTGCACAAAACTAACCTATACAGGTAAATAAAGTTAAAGTGTATGTCTATAATATTGAAATAACTGGCTTCGATTAAGCTCAGGGAGGTCTTTATTTACCAAAACTTTCAAAAAATATGTGTCCATTTATCCAAGCTAAAGGCAACTTCTATTTTTACTATATTTTTCTTTAACACACAACAATTCAATACTGTTTAAGCCTGCATATGCCCAATTTTTGCAGACAAAACACCAGACAGTACATTTTTACGTTAATAAATATTTTTACCACTACAGAGCCCATAATAAATTAGCACTTAAAATTTCAGTCAACAGTTTCAATGCTGATAAGTATTTAACTTGAGTTGCATATTATACTTTAAGCCTTGTACACAAGGAATTATTTGGTATTAAATTAAAAATAATGTCCAACACTTACTTATCTAACTGGCATGGGAATGTAAACTTTGGAATATTTTTTAACTCCTCTTCATTTTTATATGCTTCAGGATATTTCCTTATTATAAAAGGCTCCCGTAAATGATCTCCTGGTGATACTTCACAGAACAATTCAAATAAGAATCGTACAGTGTCTCTGTAATATAAAAAAAACACATTTCATTACACTTGAAATACATGTTTGTTTTGTTCTCATAAATACTATAAAGATAAACCTTGATAAATTAATTAATATTTTGAAGCATTTTTAAAATTATTAATAGACATCATAATTTTCTGATAATATTATATTGACATTAAAGAACTAGAGAGGAAGTACATGGTTCAGTTATATTCATTCATTCATTCAAAGTCAACATTATTTATATCAAACAAATATACAGATATCACAAAATTTAAAACTAAATAAAACAGTAACATTATGATTTTTATCGCTATTACTAAATGTGTCATACAGCAATTTGATAGTGCCCACAGGAAACGATAACAAAGGTGGTTTACGAACGTTTAAAACAGAAAATTGTTCATTAAGAGAGTTATGACAAAAGAAAGTACGTTAACTACAGACGAAGTAACTTTTATGTAAATAAAACAAAAAAAAAACAAGATGGAGTTGCAAAAATACGCTGCAACAAATCTTTTTCGAGGTTAGGTGATTCGGCAATATTCTAAAAGGAAGCTAAGAAAAATGAGGCTTACGTCGGCATTAACAAAAAATGTAAAATTACCTTAATCGGGAACCCATGACTGGATGTGGAAGTATTTAAATAATGATTACATCTTATACATTTTCTGTTTGATTACATCTGGTTTTAAAAGTCCAAAGATTACGAGACGTCACAAGCCATAGAAAAAACACTATATAGCTGTGAGAATCATCTTAAAAGATTTTGATGGTATTCTTGTGATAAACGTATTATTTAATGACGATGTTATTGAGTCAGACTTTTTTCTGAATTCTGATTGTTGTTGTTTTTATTATTCGCTCGTGAGAGCAGGCAAAGGAACTAAGCCATACAGCCTTGTCTTTTTTATATTATCCTTCATAGTTCACTGCTTCACAATATGTTTATGCGTCACATTGTGCAGCCCTTGGGAGATTTTGACGGCAACTTGAGCCAGCAGACAGCTGTCAGTTGGCGATGGTATCTAAAGGCGCCTATGCAGACAAACAGCTTATCTTGAGAATCCATCACCATCAGAGCACTTGTTTCACCGTTTCCACTAATAGTTCACATGTGTTAACAGTTAATACATAAAATTACATCACTTTTACATCTCAAAATCCACTTCAAACTATTATATAAACTATAATACAGGAGCAGCAAACCACCGCCGGTCAAGTTCCCGCCAAAACTCTGATTTCTGATTGAATTGAACTTCATCTTCATTTTTTATTAAGATTTTTGGTTTAGATGCTTGTCTTTTAAGTCATGTCTTCAATATGAAGTGATAATCCTTTATAGAATATGTTGATGTGGCACACAGCGTAGTTTTTCAGAGATTTTGACGGCAACTTAAGCCAGCAGACATTTAGCGATAGTCACCTTATCTTGAAATTCACATCACCATAGAAGCCCTTGTTTCACCGTTTCCACTAATAGTCCACACGCGCAAAATCTACTTTTACATATCAATTCCTCTTAAAACCATCATTTAAACAATAATACTGGAGCAGCAATCCGCCACCGGTCAAGCCGCAAAAACTCCTCTACTCCAAACCTCTATATTCATATCACTTGAAACCATGGATATTAGAGTTTTATATTATAAACAGGCAATAAAGCGCGAAAAGCAATTCAGAACTGTAAACACGCTTTAGAACAGTCTTGAATTGGCCAGCACGTCAGCAAGTTTCGGCCGAAACCGAAACCGAAACTTATTTAGACATGTTAATATTTTTTGTATTGTATTCTGAAATCTGGTATATTTTTTATACATATACACATAGGTAATTTGTGTTAATGAAAAACAGTCATTGTAATAGTCATGTCATATTTATTTATTTTAAAGTAAAAATCAACAATTTAACGATCGAAAAAGAAAGTCACAAATTTAAGTGTGATTGTTTGGGGCCTCGCAAGAAGCCCCTCTTAAGTGGGACTGCGAGACCGTTCTAACTACCTTCAAAGACCGCGATTGTTACATTGACGGAATACGAGACTTGTCAGGAATTAATAGATACGAGGTATGTCGTGTCCAAAGCATGTTTGTTAGGAGAGATCTATTGGGTAGATCTTTGGAACGAAAGAAAAGGGGCCTCGCTGATGCAACTTTGCCCACGTTTATATTAGTCTACGCTATGCCTCTGATTGTAAGCTGTTATTTAAAAAAGGTCCCACTGGGTTTCTTGCTGGTTCTTTCAAGGACATGACAATTACCACTGGTTCGAAAGTTTTTTTTTCGAACCAGTGATAATTAAACAAAAAAGTGACTTTCAATAAGTATTATTTATAATCTATATTGAATATAAAAGTTTCTGTTTCTGTTTTTTCTATAATTATGGATGATACTTCAACGCAAAACTAGGCACAAGAGAGAACGGTGAGCTGAAAGTCGGTAAATTCGGAATAGGGCAACGGAACCCAAGGGGCCAGCAGCTGGCTAACTTCATGGAGAAAGAGGGACATTTTATAATGAACTCTTTCTTCCAGAAGCGGCCCCACAGGAAGTGAACCTGGTCCAGCCGCGACGGTTCGACAAAAAATGAGATTGACTTCATTATGACGACCAGACGACAACTGTTCAGTGATGTCTCAGTGATCACGAGGGTGAAAACCGGCAGCGATCACCGAATGGTGAGAGGCGCACTGAACCTAAACGTTAAGTTGGAGAGGTCACGTCTAATGAAGTCAACGCTCCGTCCCCCTCGTGCTCTAATCCAAAGTCCCGAAACCTTTCAGCTCGGGCTACGAAACCGTTTTCAGTGCCTAGAAGATTGCAATGCAGTGGACGATATGAATGACAAGCTCGTGGAAACTGTTCATGCGGTCGGAGCTAAGTTTTGCAAGACCTGCCACAGAAGAACACAAAAACTCTCCGATCACACTCTTAATCTCATGGCCGTTAGACGAGTTATGAAGCTGCAGTCTTCAGTAGATTTGACAGCATACAGGCAACTGAACAGACAGATCTCCAAATGCCGCGGCGGGACTTACGCAACTTTAATACAGCTCGTATTAAAGAAGCGATCGAGCGGAACCAGGGCTCCAAAGTCTTTTCTAGAGATCTGTCTGACAGAAAGAGCCAACTGTCGAAGCTGAAGACCAAGTGTGGCAGCGTCATTTCCGGGACACCTGAGATTTTGAGTGAGATTGAGAGGTCCTATGGGCAGCTGTACGATATCCCGGACGTCAGTCTGAGCGAGATTAGAATGGCTCTCCAGCACCTTAAAAACGGCAAGGCCCCAGGCGAGGATGGAATTACAGCGGAGCTTCTGAAAGCGGGTGGAAGACCGGTACTTGAAGTCCTTCAGAAGCTCTTTAATTCCGTCCTCCATGGTGGCATTACACCGGAGGCGTGGAGCAGAAGTGCGGTGGTCTTGTTCTTCAAGAAAGGCGACAACGCGCTCTTGAAGAACTACAGACCGATTTCCCTTCTGAGCCGCGTCTACGTGCTGTTTTCGAGAGTCATTACGAATCGTCTCGCGCGCAGACTTGACGACTTCCAGCTTCCCGAAAATGCTTAAGCACCATAGACCATATACATACCCTTCAGCAAATTGTACAGAAGTCTGAGGAGTACAATTTGCCACTATGTCTGGCGTATGTGGACTTTTTATACGTAGTAGAGCCATGCTGCAGCTATATTAGTAGTATAGTTGTAGCACGAATGGGTCGGCTCGACCGGGGAAGGACCACGCTCTCACAGAATACCAGCGTAAAATAGCAGCTTAATGCTGCTATGTTTCGTATGGTGAGTGTAGAGAACCGGAGACCCTTTTTACTGGCAAAGAGGCATTCCATCTTAGTTCTCACGGGTGACAACGCATCTGCATCTTGAGTCTTTATTGAGGATAGATGTAGATGTATATGGGTCACAGTAACCACTTACCATCACGTGGACTGTGTGCTCGTTTGTCACCCTATCCTATAAAAAAAAACTATGAGAAAGCCTTTGATTCCGTAGAAGTTTGCCCGGTGCTCCAGTCCCTTCAGCGGTGCCAAGTTGACTGTCGGTATATCGAAGTGTTGAAGTACAGTAGGGCTACGATGGCTATCCGAGTACAGAACCAGAGTACGAAACCTATCCAATTGCAGGTGTAAGACAGGGTGACGTCATATCCCCGAAACTCTTCACCGCTGCATTGGAAGACGTTTTCAAGCTTCTGGACTGGAAAGGATACGGTATCAACATCAATGGCGAGTACGTCACTCATCTTCGATTTGCCGACGATATAGTCCTTATGGCAGAATTGCTGGAGGACCTAAGCACTATGCTCAATGACCTCAATAGTGTTTACCAACGGATAGGTCTTAAGATGAACATGGACAAAACAAAGATCATGTTTAATGTCCATGTCACACCTATGCCGGTAGTTGTTGGGAGCACTAACCTCGAAGTTGTTGACAAGTATGTTTACCTGGGATAAATAGTCCGACTAGGTAAGTTCAACTTCGACCGAGAGGACAATTGACGGATTCAACTAGGTTGGGCAGTGTTTGGGAAATTACGGCACATCTTCTCGTCAGGTTTACCTCAAAACTTGAAAACGAGACTGTACAACCAGTGCGTGTTGCCAGTGATGACCTATGGAACTGAGACGTGGTCCTTCACTGCTGGCCGGATGAGGAAGCTCAAGGTCGCTCAGCGAGCTATGGAGAGGGCTATGCTCGGAGTTTCTCTGCGTGATAAGCTTAGAAATGAGGATATCCGCAGTACAAACAGAGTAACTGACATAGCCCAACGAATGAGTAAGCTGAAGTGGCAATGGGCCGGCCATATAGCTCGAAGAACCGACAACCGATGGGGAAAAAGGTTCTCGAGTGGCGGCCTCGTAAGGGCAGGCGAAGTGTAGGGCGTTCCTCCACTAGATGAAGTGACGACCTGGTAAGATATGCAGGAAGTCGATGGATGCAGGTTCAGCAGTGGACTTGTGAAGGGCTGTAATGATGATGAATGATACACGAATCACGAACTCATCCGAACGACGCATGATAATCCACGAACACTGGGTTTCGGCGCCGTCGAAGTTTCGGCAGATTTTTGCCGAAACCGAAACTATTACCGAAACTAGATTTTTTTGCCGAAACTTGCCGAAACCGAAACCGAATCTTCGGTCGGTCACTAGTTATAAACTAATATGTACCTTAAGCTTCAGTTTACTAGATTGTTATTCTATTATCGTCATTTGAGCCTTAGTTAAGACAGTATTTTGTTAAGTTTTCATACAGTCAATCAATAATGCATAGGGCTGTCACACAAATCAAGATACCGAAAAATGCACAAGTCAAGAAAAGGTTAAAAACGTAGTTTTCGTCAAATCGGGTCCGAGAATTTGTGAGAATTTACTCACTGTTCCTCGTAGTTTCAGTCTCAAATTAAAAAAACTACTCTTGATCATCATATGAAAAAGGCAGTTAATATAGTATGTTATCAAAAGGCAGATTTAAGTGACTAAGAAGAAATTTCAATTCGCTTCTGCGCCCAACCTGTGGTTTGGATAAAACATTCTCAATTTCAAGTTGCGTAACATCCGAGTCAATTTTCTACCTGGTATTTTATAATTAAACAACTATGCTCTAT